AGCAAATAGAGAGAGAATAATTTAGGATTTAGACTGGTTCTAATACCAATTATTGGATCGAGTTCTTACCTTAGGAAATTAGTTGGCCATAAAGCACAAAATGACATTATAATTCTTTACAGGATTTAACTTCTGTCATGCACTTTTTCATTGACACTTGCTAACACTTTGGGAAATTTAAATTTTTAAAACAAAGCAAAAGATGACCCTCTCTCACTTTTGCCTTTTACTATAATTGTTGGAAAGTTCTATATCGCTTGTCTCAATTCTTGGGATATTTCTTATATATGTCTATATGTGTGTGTAACAACAATGGTCCTTTAACTCTTGCTTGTGGAAACGTGCATTGCCATACTTTAAGCCATTTGTCCATATATGATAGGGGGTTTGTAGAGTTTGTATAGTCGTACATGACCAAGCACAGGAATGGTGCTGCTTTTCCTGAGCGGAGTGCTGACATCCTTGTACAGCCATGTATGATTATGCATCATCCTGCATCTTTGCGAAGTGGTTGGGTACTGGTTTGAAGCATGGCCGTACATAAATATGCACAACTGTGCTTTGAAGTAGAAACCCATGATTTTCTTCTCCTCTTTTGAGCTAATGTTCATCCTGCACAACTTGACAATAATTAGGTGGATTTAACCACTTAAGATTTCAAAAAGTATCCAAACAATGCATTAATATCCATCAATAAACGTGAGCAAAATGAGGTCTATAGTTACTCTAGGCTACCAATTTCTCAGTCTTGACATTGAACAGCAGTTTTTCTAATTAAACCTGGTGCAAGCTTGTCGGTTATAAAGTTACTTGAGATTTAGTTTTAATCATGCAAAAGTTATGATTTTGTTTCCTCTAGCATATTTCTTCAATAATGTTATTAATTGTTTGTTACCATATACATCCCAACAACTAACTTAAATCAAGTCTATGGTAGTCAATATTAACAGGTAAGGCCCACATATTTTTTCAAGACCTCCCTTATTAAATACATATTGACTGCAATGACTTATAACTAACTAAGTTGCTATATGGGATTGCATTAGCTATTACTTGGCTTGGTCTCAATATTATTTGCATAGTTTGAACATCTCTGAAAACATGCTCGTGATGTCGATGTAAAAAAATGTAAGCATACTCTTCTGCTTTCTGTGGCAGGGATACTTCAGGAGTTGCAAAGGAGAATAAATTGCAGAATTTCAGGGAGAATCTGTGATAGCTGCTGCAACCTCTAACACTCACATTGCTACTACGAGATATTAGATTCATTCATTTTTGTTTCTTTTAAATTTTTTTTTTTTACTGGAAATGTTTGTAAAATGATTTTGTCTTTTAGGAATCTTACCAATACAATTAGAGCTAGTTGTTTGATTGAGTATATATTGTATATGTAAAATGTGTTTGAGGTGTGCATTGTATGTATATGATCTTTAAGTGTAAGAGGTAGAGCTTCATGTGTTTATAATAGAAATATGGGCATATCTGTTGTGCTGGTTTTGCCTGACCAAGGCATTTTATGCTGCTTTTTACTTAAATTTAATTCAATGTTGCTATAAAATATAGCTTTACAAAAGCTTGAATGCTATATACTACTCATCATTGAAGAAAAATACATTTACACTTTCCATCTATCGTATCTTTCATGTAATATTCATATTCTGTTAAGTCGGGTTGGTATAAAGTAGCCTGTTAAAAATAATGAAAGAAAAATACACTTTACATTTGACTTTACCCATTGATTATTAATTGAGGCTCAAATAATTCTTTATCATTCATTTTTTTTTCTACTGATGTTATATTTAGTCCATGCCATTAAGGTTTAGTTAGTTTTTTTAATCATTAGTAAAACTTAGTATTATCAATTAAGTATAAGATTTAGTTTTGTTGTCCTTAATGAGTAAGATATTAGCAAAGTTGTAATTTTTACCTTTACTCTTTTTTTAATCATGATATTTTTGTTCATTTTTTTTAGAGGAAAAATTCATCTCTATTACATGCTTTATTAAAAGGATACATTGCTACATCTTTGCTTAAAGTAGTGTCATTGGTTAAATCAATTGCTTGAGATTCATTGTCTTGAGATACATTTGAAATAATGTTTCACAAATTCACAAGAACTCATGTTGCAACAATTTGTTCTTGTCATTGCATTTAAGATTTTATTTATGGTTATAATTGGAAAATCAAGATTTGCCTAACCTAATAACATCAAAATAGGAGAATGACAACATCAAAATCTCACTTTAAACTTTAAATAATTATTTCTATCCTAATCTATCAAGGGACAAATACTATATTATGAGTATAATATTGACATTTTTAAGTTAAAGTGTCTTTCCTCTTAAACTTTAACTACGTATTGCACTTCTAACTAAGCCTATGGCAAATTATTTCTTATTAAAGGGCAACAATGTCTCAACTGTAAAATCCAATTTTAATGTTCTAACATGCAAAAAATAAAATTATTTTATTTAAGATTACCTAATTTAATTTATAAAATAAATTTAATTTAAAGATTATAACGTGATAATTATTAGATTATAAATATATTCAAATTTTGTAAGTAGGATTTTCCATAGATTTAGGTAAGTTTCAAGAAAAATAAATATATTAAAAGTTTTATTAAAGACCATCCAAAATTTAGTGGATAACCTGCAAGTTCTTGGAAACTATAACTGCAATTAAGACTTAAGACTTTGTATGATGGAATAATTCATCTTGCATAACATTTCTTCTATCAATGACATAAAGTCACGTGTTTCAAGATTTTTTTTAAGACAAATGTTTAAGTTCGAGTGTTTATAAATTAAGGTAAATTTACTAGGAAATTTTAGGTGATACTATAAAATGTATTGTGTTTCATCATAAGATAATAACAAAATCGGATATATACAATGCCAAATTATTCAAACAAAATAAAGACTTTATTAAAAGCCGCTGTTGTCGGGAATTAAACCCAGTTCACCTACATGACACGAAGAATATTCACTACTATACTAAAATGACTCTATAAAATATTAATTGAGAGACACAAATTATGTTTTGAAACAGACCCACCAAGTTTTCAATTTTCTCTAGTAAGATTTTGCAATACAATTATGAATGTTTAAAGAAAAAATAATAAAATATTGAAGGTTGATACTGAATTTCACATTCAAATAAACTAATGCATACTTGATTCGAATATTATAATTTATTTACATCAATATGGGATCTTATATGATGGTAGTTTTAAGGTTAAATATATAACGTGTTTGATATAATTTAAGATGAGAAAATTCGGGGAAGATTTCCACTAGACTCTAAGATAATCACTTATGTAGGTGTGAATGTGCACTTCCAAGGATTCAAGAGCGGATAGGAGAAGAAACAAAATAAGCAACAACAAATAACAAGGGCTGGAAATGAAAGACCAACCAAGGTAAAATGAAAAGGAAGAAATAAAAAATAGAATGGAGAAGAGAAGAAGCGGGGGTGAGGATGGAGGGGTGGCACACCACTTCGGGGATGGTCTAATCCAAGATGGGTGGCAGTTGCCATCACTTGAACCAAGATTCAAGATAAGATTAAGAGAAGAAGAATACTTTAGATAAGAGCTATCAAACTTGAATTCAATTTCTAACCAAACATTATAAGGTAACTACACTGTGATGTTGTTGGATTACTCAAATATTTTGTAGGATTCTTACATTATTTACATTGTGATGTAAAATAAAGTAAGGTACAAAATAATTGTAGAATTTTAAGCAATAAAGTAAGCAAACCCAAGAAAAATTCCTACTGGATTTTAAGATAGTTGTCTATCTAGATGTGAAGGTTCATTTCCAAGGATTACGGAAGGAGGAAGAGATGAAATGAAACTAGAAAAGAATAAAGACAAGGGCTGAAAAAATGGATCATCCCCTTGAATAAATAAATGGATTGAAGAAATAAAGAAGAGAAGAGAAATATGGTAGGGGTGAAGTGTTGACATGCCACTAAAGGATGAGCCACCCTAGATAAGTGGTGGTTGCAGCCGCTTAAACCAAAGTTTAAGATAACACACTCAAAGAGATAAAACACTCTAAGAAATCTCACAAACTTGTCATAAATGTTCAACCTAATTACATGAGGGAGAACATTCTATTTATAGGCTTTTCGCGGAAGGACCTAGATGGAATTACAAAAGGAGACATAAACCTAACCTAAACCTAAAGGCTAGAGTCCACATGGTCCAAATATGTTAAATTCTTCCTAACCCACCAAAAATACATCTAAAGGTGTGGAGAACATAAAAAAAAAGAGGTGTGCTTCCTTTTGTGTTGTCCCAAGCCTACCTATCCTGCATCACAAACTTCTTCCTCTCCAAAAAGGGGTGTAGGATATGAAAAAGAAGTGTCGTACACCTTTGTGCTGTTCATGCATGTATCCAAGGCTTCTTTTCAACCAAAAAGAGGTGGTATTCTTCAAAAAGGAGGTCCAAAAAGTGAGTCTACAAAAGGAAAGCGAAAATAAGTGAAAAACTTAGGAAAAGTAAATTCAAAATAGAAGGTGAAGAGGAGACCTCCCTTCTAATCATGTTTCTAATAATTCTCTTAGGGATGACCTCTCCCACCTCTGGGACAACTAGGGACTCATCATATTAAGGTCTATTAGATAACTTTAGGATAGTCAAATTGGTTGAGTTAGAGGTTCATTGATATTGAAATTAGAAAGAAGGTATAATTGAAAAGTTTGAAAGCCAACTAGTGTAAAGGTTGACTTCTGACTAATTATGGAGGATTTTATTTAAGCTTTTTACATTCACTATATGAGTGGTATTTGCCATTTTAGAGTTTGATTCATCATTTAAGAGTATTGTGGTTGTTATTTTACAATATGTCCGAGAATTATAAAAATATTGTCCTTCAATTTATTTAGGCACAAAGAAATTTCAAGAATGATAAGATAATAACAAAATGAGATATCCAATGGCGAATTATTCCAGTTAGAAAAAAAAACACAGAGACTTGATTAAAAGACGCCGTTGTCGGGGATTGAACCCAGGTCACTTGTGTAACAAGCAGGAATACTCACCACTATACTACAACGACTCTATAAAACATTAATTGAGAGAGAAAACTTGTGTTTTGAAACTACACCGACCAAGTTTTCAACTTTCTCTAGTAGGATTTTACAATATAATTATGAAAGTTTAAAGAAAAAAATAATAAAATATTGAAGGTTGATACTTAATTTCACATTCAAACAAACTAATGCATACTTGGTTCCAATAATATAATTTATTTACATCAATATGGGATCTTATATGAGTTTAGTTTTAAGGTTAAACATATAACGTGTTTGATACAATTAAGATGAGAAAATCTGGGGAAGATTCCCACTGGACTCTAATATAATCAATTATGTAGGTGTGAATGTGCACTTCCAAGGATTCAAGAGTGGACAGGAGAAGAAACAAAGCAAGAAACAACAAATAACAATGGCTGGAAATGAAAGACCAGCCAAAGTAAAATGAAAAGGAAGAAATGAAAAATAGAATGGAGAAGAGAAGAAGCGGGGGTGAGGATGGAAGGGTGGCACACCACTTGGGGGATGATCCAACCCAAGATGGGTGACAGTTGCTGCCGCTTGAACCAAGGTTGAAGATAAGACCAAGAGAAGAAGAACACTCTAGATAAGAGCTCTCAAACTTGAATTCAATTTCTAACCATTTCTAACCAAATATTTTATGGTAACTATGTTGTGATGTTGTTGGATTACTCAAATATTTTGTAGGATTCTTACATTATTTACATTGTGGTCTATTAGATAACTTTAGGATAGTTATATTGGTTGAGTTAGAGGTTCATTGATATTGAAATTAGAAAAGAAGGTATAATTGAAAAGTTTGAAAGACAACTAGTGTAAAGGTTGACTTCTGACTAATTATGGAGGATTTTATTTAAGCTTTTTAAATTCACTACATGAATGGTATTTTCCATTTTAGAGTTTGATTCATCATTTAAGAGTATTGTGGTTGTTATTTTACAATATGTCCGAGAATTATAAAAATATTGTCCTTCAATTTATTTAGGCACATAGAAATTTCAAGAATGATAAGATAATAACAAAATGAGATATCCAATGGCAAATTATTCCAGCTAGAAAAAAAAAACACAGAGACTTGATTAAAAGACGCCGTTGCCGGGGATCGAACCCGGGTCACCTGCGTGACAGGCAGGAATACTCACCACTATACTACAACGACTCTATAAAACATTAATTGAGAGAGAAAGATTGTGTTTTGAAACTACATCGACCAAGTTTTCAACTTTCTCTAGTGGGATTTTACAATATAATTATGAAAGTTTAAAGGAAAAAATAATAAAATATTGAAGGTTGATACTTAATTTCACATTCAAACAAACTAATGCATACTTGGTTCAAATAATATAATTTATTTACATCAATATGAGATCTTATATGAGTGTAGTTTTAAGGTTAAACATATAACGTGTTTGATAAAATTAAGATGAGAAAATCTGGGGAAGATTCCCACTGGACTCTAAGATAATCAATTATGTAGGTGTGAAGGTGCACTTCCAAGGATTCAAGAGAGGACAGGAGAAGAAACAAAGCAAGAAATAACAAATAACAATGGCTGGAAATGAAAGACCAGCCAAGGTAAAATGAAAAGGAAGAAATGAAAAATAGAATGGAGAAGAGAAGTAGCAGGGGTGAGGATGGAGGGGTGGCACGCCACTTGGGGGATGATCCAACCCAAGATGGGTGACGGTTGCTGCCGCTTGAACCAAGGTTGAGGATAAGACCAAGAGAAGAAGAACACTCTAGAAAAGAGCTCTCAAACTTGAATTCAATTTCTAACAATTTCTAACCAAATATTTTATGGTAACTATGTTGTTGGATTACTCAAATATTTTGTAGGATTCTTACATTATTTACATTGTGGTCTATTAGATAACTTTAGGATAGTAAAATTGGTTGAGTTAGAGGTTCATTGATATTGAAATTAGAAAGAAGGTATAATTGAAAAGTTTGGAAGCCAACTAGTGTAAAGGTTGACTTCTGACTAATTATGGAGGATTTTATTTAAGCTTTTTACATTCACTACATGAGTGGTATTTTCCATTTAAGTTTGATTCATCATTTAAGAGTATTGTGGTTGTTATTTTACAATATGTTCGAGAATTATAAAATTATTGTTCTTCAATTTATTTAGGCACATAGAAATTTCAAGAATGATAAGATAATAAAAAAAAATGAGATATCCAATGGCGAATTATTCTAGTTAGAAAAAAAAAACACAGAGACTTGATTAAAAGACGCCGTTGCCGGGGATCGAACCCGGGTCACCTGCGTGACAGGCAAGAATACTCACCACTATACTACAACGACTCTATAAAACATTAATTGAGAGAGAAAGATTGTGTTTTGAAACTACACCGACCAAGTTTTCAACTTTCTCTAGTAGGATTTTACAATATAATTATGAAAGTTTAAAGAAAATAAAATAAAATAATAAAGGTTGATACTTAATGTCACATTCAAACAAACTAATGCATACTTGGTTCGAATAATATAATTTATTTACATCAATATGAGATCTTATATGAGTGTAGTTTTAAGGTTAAACATATAACGTGTTTGATACAATTAAGATGAGAAAATCTGGGGAAGATTCCCACTGGACTCTAAGATAATCAATTATGTAGGTGTGAAGGTGCACTTCCAAGGATTCAAGAGTGGACAGGAGAAGAAACAAAGCAAGAAACAATAAATAACAATGGCTGGAAATGAAAGACCAGCCAAAGTAAAATGAAAAGGAAGAAATGAAAAATAGAATGGAGAAGAGAAGAAGCGGGGGTGAGGATGGAGGGGTGGCACGCCACTTGGGGGATGATCCAACCCAAGATGGGTGACGGTTGCTGCCGCTTGAACCAAGGTTGAAGATAAGACCAAGAGAAGAAGAACACTCTAGATAAGAGCTCTCAAACTTGAATTCAATTTCTAACCATTTCTAACCAAATATTTTATGGTAACTATGTTGTTGGATTACTCAAATATTTTGTAGGATTCTTACATTATTTACATTGTGGTTTATTAGATAACTTTAGGATAGTTAAATTGGTTGAGTTAGAGGTTCATTGATATTGAAATTAGAAAGAAGGTATAATTGAAAAGTTTGAAAGACAACTAGTGTAAAGGTTGACTTCTGACTAATTATGGAGGATTTTATTTAAGCTTTTTAAATTCACTACATGAATGGTATTTGCCATTTTAGAGTTTGATTCATCATTTAAGAGTAGTGTGGTTGTTATTTTACAATATGTCCGAGAATTATAAAAATATTGTCCTTCAATTTATTTAGGCACATAGAAATTTCAAGAATGATAAGATAATAACAAAATGAGATATCCAATGGCGAATTATTCCAGCTAGAAAAAAAAACAGAGACTTGATTAAAAGAAAAGACGCCGTTGCCGGGGATCGAACCCGGGTCACCTGTGTGACAGGCAAGAATACTCACCACTATACTACAACGACTCTATAAAACATTAATTGAGAGAGAAATATTGTGTTTTGAAACTACATCGACCAAGTTTTTAACTTTCTCTAGTAGGATTTTACAATATAATTATGAAAGTTTAAAGAAAAAAATAATAAAATATTGAAGGTTGATACTTAATTTCACATTCAAACAAACTAATGCATACTTGGTTCAAATAATATAATTTATTTACATCAATATGAGATCTTATATGAGTGTAGTTTTAAGGTTAAACATATAACGTGTTTGATAAAATTAAGATGAAAAAATCTGGGGAAGATTCCCACTGGACTCTAAGATAATCAATTATGTAGGTGTGAAGGTGCACTTTCAAGGATTCAAGAGCGGACAGGAGAAGAAACAAAGCAAGAAACAACAAATAACAATGGCTGGAAATGAAAGACCAGCCAAGGTAAAATGAAAAGGAAGAAATGAAAAATAGAATGGAGAAGAGAAGAAGCAGGGGTGAGGATGGAGGGGTGGCACGCCACTTGGAGGATGATCCAACCCAAGATGGGTGACGGTTGCTGCCGCTTGAACCAAGGTTGAAGATAAGACCAAGAGAAGAAGAACACTCTAGATAAGAGCTCTCAAACTTGAATTCAATTTCTAACCATTTCTAACCAAATATTTTATGGTAACTATGTTGTGATGTTGTTGGATTACTCAAATATTTTGTAGGATTCTTCCATTATTTACATTGTGGTCTATTAGATAACTTTAGGATAGTTAAATTGGTTGAGTTAAAGGTTCATTGATATTGAAATTAGAAAGAAGGTATAATTGAAAAGTTTGAAAGCCAACTAGTGTAAAGGTTGACTTCTGACTAATTGTGGAGGATTTTATTTAAGCTTTTTACATTCACTACGTGAGTGGTATTTTCCATTTTAGAGTTTGATTCATCATTTAAGAGTATTGTGGTTGTTATTTTACAATATGTCTGAGAATTATAAACATATTGTCCTTCAATTTATTTAGGCACATAGAAATTTCAAGAATGATAAGATAATAACAAAATGAGATATCCAATGGCGAATTATTCCAATTAGAAAAAAAAAACACAGAGACTTGATTTAAAGACGCCGTTGCCGGGGATCGAACCCGGGTCACCTGCGTGACAGGCAGGAATACTCACCACTATACTACAACGACTCTAAAACATTAATTGAGAGAGAAAGATTGTGTTTAGAAACTACACCAACCAAGTTTTCGACTTTCTCTAGTAGGATTTTACAATATAATTATGAAAGTTTAAAGAAACAAATAATAAAATATTGAAGGTTGATACTTAATTTCACATTCAAACAAACTAATGCATACTTGGTTCGAATAATATAATTTATTTACATCAATATGGGATCTTATATGAGTGTAGTTTTAAGGTTAAACATATAACGTGTTTGATAAAATTAAGATGAGAAAATCTGGGGAAGATTCCCACTGGACTCTAAGATAATCAATTATGTAGGTGTGAAGGTGCACTTCCAAGGATTCAAGAGCGGACAGGAGAAGAAACAAAGCAAGAAACAACAAATAACAATGGCTGGAAATGAAAGACCAGCCGAGGTAAAATGAAAAGGAAGAAATGAAAAATAGAATGGAGAAGAGAAGAAGCGAGGGTGAGGATGGAGGGGTGGCACGCCAATTGGGGGATGATCCAACCCAAGATGGGTGGCAGTTACTGCTGCTTGAACAAAGGTTGAAGATAAGACCAAGAGAAGAAGAACACTCTAGATAAGAGCTCTCAAACTTGAATTCAATTTCTAACCATTTTTACCAAATATTTTATGGTAACTATGTTGTGATGTTATTGGATTACTCTAATATTTTGTAGGATTCTTATATTATTTACATTGTGGTATACTAGATAACTTTAGGATAGTTAAATTGGTTGAGTTAGAGGTTCATTGATATTAAAATTAGAAAGAAGGTATAATTGAAAAGTTTAAAAGCTAACTAGTGTAAGGATTGACTTCTGACTAATTATGGAGGATTTTATTTAAGCTTTTTACATTCATTACATGAGTGTTATTGCCATTTTAGAGTTTGATTCATCATTTAAGAGTATTGTGGTTGTTATTTTACAATATGTCCGACAATTCTAAAAAATATTGTTCTTCAATTTATTTAGGCACATAGAAATTTCAAGAATGATAAGATAATAACAAAATGAGATATTCAATGGCAAATTATTCCAGCTAGAAAAAAAAAACACAGAGACTTGATTAAAAGACACCATTGCCGTGTATCGAACCCGAGTCACCTGCGTGACAAGGAGGAATACTCACCACTATACTACAACGACTCTATAAAACATTAATTGAGAGAGAAAGATTGTGTTTTGAAACTACACCCACCATGCGTTTCTTAGTTCTTGTAAAACAAATGTTCTTGTTCAAGTGATGAGAAATTAAAGTAAATTCACTTGGAAATTTCATGTTATATTTGTTGGTTGATGATAAACTGTATTTTGTTTCTTCAACAATTTAGTGGATAACTTGTATGCTCTTGGAAATTATAAGTGTAAGAAGAGACAACAAAATGTGTCTCCTGAGTAAAGCATCAACCATTATGTTACTCTTTTTCTGGAATCCGTTCTTGTAATCAATTAGTATTTGATTAGTGGAACTCAAGTTGAATTTTGTTAAGAACTGGGTGTAGCCCAGTGGATTGGGTGAACTAGTATAAATTTGGTGTTCTTGCTTTTGATTAGATCAATTCACCCCCTCTTGATCTCACTATGTATTTCTAGCAAAAAAGTCTCGGGAAAAATTGGCAAAACATTTTTAATCGATTAAAATGCATTTTCAATAGTTAAATTCACTTAAGCTAAGTTGTTTTAATCGGTTAAAGTGTGAATTAATCGATTAATCATATCAGTTAGTTAGTTAGTTAGAAAAATTTCTATATAAACAGATTTCCTCAAACATTTTAAAACATATCCTTGAGAAATCATTCAAGCAATCTTTAGAGATTTTTCCAAGAGAGAAATGTGTTTTTCTCATTAGAATTCTTTTGCTATCTATCTTGAGGCTCTTTGTTCTTGTTTAAGAAACTCATTTTGTGATTGGATTTTTGCATCTACATATTTATTTGATTATTGTAGTTTCTTCAACCATCTTGATTCTTCATTCGATTCATTATATTTTTGGTGTTTGGAATTGTGGGCATTGAGTTAAGCAGTTGAAATTGTGATTGATGTCATAGGTTTAAGAATTGGGTTAAAGTTTTTGGTGTAGATTGATTTTCTGCAATTTGTTATTGTAATCAATTGGTATTTTATTAGTGGAACTCAACTGGAATTTGGTTGGGAACTAGATATAGCCTTGTGGATTGGGTGAACTAGTATAAACTTGGTGTTCTTATTTTTATTTTATCTCTTTCTTTCGTTCAAGATTGTTGTTATTTGGTTCAAGAATTGATTGGGTTCTTTAATTTTTGAAATTTATAATCTGTACTCAAAAGTTGTGAAATCATTTTTATTAGATCAATTCACCCCCCTCTTGATCTCAATTTGTATTTCTAACAAAAAAAGTCTCGGGAAAAATTGGTAAAACCTTTTTAATCGATTAAAAGACATTTTCATCAGTTAAATTCAATTAAGCTAAGTTGTTTTAATCGATTAAAGTGTGAATTAATCATATCAGTTAGTAAGAAAAATCTCTATATAAATAGATTTCCTCCAACATTTCAAAATATATCCTTGAGAAATCATTCAAGTAATCTTTTGAGATTTTTTCCAAGAGAGAAATTAGTTTTTCTCATTAGAATTCTTTTGCAATCTTTCTTGAGGCTCTTTGTTCTTATTTTTTAGGAAACTCATTCTGTGATTGGATCTTTGCATCTGCATATTTATTTGATTGTTGTAGTTTCTTCAACCATCTTCATTCTTCATTCAATTCATTGTATTTTCAGTGTCTGGAATTGTGGGCACTGAGTTAAGCAGTTGGAATTGTGGTTACTTTCATAGACTCAAGAAATGGGTTAAAGTTCTTGGTGTATATTGATTTTCTATAATATGTTATTGTAATCAATTGGTATTTTATTAGTGGAAATTAATTAGAATTTGGTTGAGAACTGGATGTAGCCTTGTGGATTGGGTGAATCAATATAAACTTGGTGTTCTTGTTTTTCTTTCATATCTTTCTTTCATTCAAGATTGTTGTTATTTGGTTCAAGAATTGATTGGGTTCTTAAATCTTTGAAATTTATAATCTGTACTCAAAAGATGCAAAAAGTTTTTTATTAGATCAATTCACCCCCTCTTGATCTCAGCTTGTATTTCTAGCAATTTGAAATTTTATATAAATGCAAGGATTTTAACATTTCAAGAGCATCTTTGTGAGAGTTTCACACTCTTGAATCATGATTTAAAGGCACATATATGTGTTTCCCTACCTTTGTTGATGTTAACTCCTCTTGTGTTTTCATTTTAATCATATTTAAACAAGTATTGATATCATTCTCCATCTTCCTCTTAATGTTTAGAAGTGTTCCATTTAAGTTATCACATAACCTTTTCTCCACATACATTACATTTATACATAACTTGCACCAATATGGTCGATCAAAGAAGATAAACATTTCTTCCAAATGTCTATTATAGTTGGCTTTTTTTTTTTTCAAAGGCAACATTAGTATCCTTCACCTTTCATAAATATAAACACCAACTAAAGGAGTTGGTGATTTGTCATTCCATTAAAAGTTTTTCTCAATCTAAAGTAAAGGTGAAATTTTTAAAATATTTTAAATGTCGAAGATATATTGTCTTTCTTTCATGTTTCAATCGCACATAACTAGAGTTTTCTTCACAAATAGGACAAACTTTATGTCCCCTCATAATGGAGGTAAGATTCTCCTCCCTCAAATTGGACGAATCACACCCTCCATCTACACCATGAACACATGGAACCAAGTCCCCAAATAAGAGGTCAAGGCACTAAATTCCACTCAAGAAAGGATCTTTGTAGGGAAAGGTAGGAGAAAATACCCCTAAAAAGGAACTTTTAAGAAAACCAAAGCAGAAAAACAATTATACAATTCAACAACTCAATGCTTATTCAAAGTTGGAAAAATACAAGCATGAGGATTCAATTTATAAATGCTCCTCCTCTCCTCACTTTCTAGCCTAGGAGATGTGGAATAATTCTCCCTTTTACAACATAGGTGCTAAAATCCTTTAATCCTTGGTTCAAGTCCCACCTTTCCTAGTCTTAATTACATTTAAAGGTTTATAAAATCTAATTCTTCAAAATGTTGCAACCAAGAGTTGAAGCTTGAACTTCCTTACATGTGGGAAGCTCTTGGCCAAAAATGAGAAAGAAAACATATGATCTCCTTTTTGTTGTGGCCAAGTCCTGATCCTTGCTCCTTTTTCTTCATGTGTTTGCACCTCTTTTAGTCTCACACAGCTTGGAAAAGGCCTTCATCAAGTGTATATATATGTGAGACCTCTCTAAGGCTGCAATCAAGTGGTGCTCTTTGACTCTTCAAGTGAGTAGTTTTCCCAAGTGTGGATGGCTCCATGTTCAACTTCATGTTTGACCTATTTTAATAAAGAGAAGAAGAATTAAAATTTTGTACAATTTTTACAAGGCTTAAGAAAATAAAAAAAGGTATTTAATATGAGATGCTCTAGTAAATGAGAGCTCTAGAAGAAGGTTCTTCCTCCTCCATTCTCCTTGCCATGACTCTAGTTAGGGCTTTAGGTGTTGTGCACTAGATGGTCTTCCATCACTTCACTCTTTGTTGAAAGTCTCACATTTCTTGTCTCATATCATATTATATGGTTTAAATACTTGTTAGACTACTCCTCATATTGCCAATTGATTTATGTTGGAACTTTAACACTATAACTTGACAAGTTTCCATATGCAGAAAAATCATTGATAGTTCAAAATAATATGACATGCATCTTAAAAGACTCTCAAGCAAACTCATCAAACACTTCAACCCCTTCATCATATCATGCCCAACTCGTATAATTTCTAAGAAAACCATCACATAGAAGATGCTCCTTAATTGTTTAACATTTAGTATTATTCCATTTAAACAATTAACATATGGTCACCTAAATCTTTCTCCATCAAAACTAGTATCAGTGTTGCATTGTGCAAATAGTAAAAAGTTTTCCACTCCTCAACACCAATTCGTTCAACAGAAAAATATCAATATACTATGTCATCGTAACACAAACAATAAATTCATACATTCTTAAGTTTGTTAAGAGAGTATTACGAATTACTTACTTTAAGGGAAGACAAGACCAAAAGTAATTGCACTGTTATGGACCACCACAACCATAGAGAACCACAATTATCACCATTATAACAACCCACACAATATAACAACCCCACGAACCACTACCATAACAACCTGCACAACACGATAATCACCAAGAAAACCCACCACCACCACAACCACACATCAACCACCACGAGCACCATAATAAATTCCATGTAACCACACAACAACCATAGAATGGCATGAGATGAAGAGAAGAAAGGAGAGGGTGGGAGAGTCAAGTGAGGGAGGGAGAGGAGTGGAGCGAGAATAGAATTGAAAAAAGAGTTGTTTACACTAGAAGAGGATAATACGACAATGGAGAGAGGGAAGAGAAGCGATAAAAGTGTGACACAAATAAGAAAAGAAGAATTAAATTGAACAACATATAATCATTCTATAAATAATTATTGTTGTATAGATTACAATAACAATAAAACCTAATTCGTCATCAAATTCGTAAAAAAATAATTATTATGAGTTTCATCATTATATTATATACAACTAAGATATTAAAATATCATAAAATTATTTTAAATTATAAAATTATTATGTCACCCATAATTACTTAATAATTATTATTAAAGAGCATCGTCATCTTTTTTATTTTATACTAACGTGAAGCTCTAAAGTTTCTTGCATTTGCTGGTCATGATCGAGTCTATGGTTGACAGTTTTAACTCCGTACCTTCTCTCTCCATTGGCTAATAGTGTGAGATGTACAAACTATTTAATTTTGGGTGTATTCCATTTTTTTTAACATCATTCCTTTGACCTTATTTGAGAGAAATTCAGAAAGAACGTGATAAATATTATATCTCTCTTCTCAAATAATGAGGCAAACATAGTATTAAAAAAAGTTTAATGTGATATAATAATAATAATAATAACGTAAAGATGATGGTACAAACAATTTATGTCTGAATCACTATTACAATTGTAAATTGTTTTGTAAAAATTTATTTAAATTTGTAGAAAATTTATTTCTTACAATTTTTATAAAAATTTACAAAAATATTTCCA